AAATGGATAATAAATAAATTAAAATATAACTTATAACTACGGACTAAAAATCTAAATTAACATTTTCAGCATTTTTGCCGTTGTCGCAATGATCTGTGACTGTGAGATAAAACACAAACCTTTATCTAAAAAACTGCACTTATTATTTTATATTCCTTACATGTTCCCGCTTTGTGGCTTTTGCCCTTTCATTTTGTTCTCGATCAATTAAAGTGTTTCGCAATGTGCTCTTAACAAAAAATCTATAAGCAATTACAAATTTTAATATTGGTTACAACAACAAAATACAGTTAATAGTTTTACATTGATAGAAGAGTATTTTCGTTCATCCACAGATTATTCTATTGTATAGAAATACAGTTAGGTATAGCAATTTGCATTGATATATTACTTTCATTTTACTTTTGTTGCTTTCCTTCGATCCAAGAAAACATGTTTATCGCAAAATAGAAATCAACCAAAATTAAACTGGTAAAAATAAAAAAATACAGATAATAGTTTTACATTAATAGACGAATAATTAGCTTAAGACAACCTTACTTGTCTCTTATGCGAAAATTTTTCGTGTGTGGTTTTCTCACTGGATCTGGAGATCTGGTGATCCCTAGCATCTTATAATCAAATGTATTTAATTTAAACACCAACATATCTTTACATTTTTGCCATATTTTATGCGAACATTTTTCGTGTGTGGTTTTCTCACGTGATCCCTACCGTCTTCAATGCGTCAAGTCGAGAACAGCGGTATCACCTGTATGTTTAGAACAAGAAATAATAAAATAATCAAATGTATTTAATTTAAACACCAACATACCTTTCCATGTTTGCGGGGTTTTAAGCCATAATTATACCGTAATTTCCGTCTTGGAGACACATCATAACACTGAGGCACAAGCACGGTTTTCATATTTTGACCCATATTTATTTTTCGCATCGATTAATATGCATTTTTAATATTCTCAAGATTTTCGAAAAACACGTGATTCGCGTAACCAGAGATAAACATAGATAAAGACAATCAGCAGTTGTCTCCCGCCTTAGTCTATAAGCCTTGTTCTATGCTCCTGCTCCAATGATGGAAAAGTGCTAAATTGTCACATCTCGGATATCACATCACTGATAAACCGATATTGACAAAATCAAAATTTTTGTCTTGCTTAGAAAGACAGTATTCTAGTAACTAATAAATCTACAATCATATAGGTAATTTAAAAAATCAAGATTTGTGCAAAGGCACATAATAATTTGTTTATGCCAATAACCAATAAATTATAAGCTTTGCAGCTTTTCAGAAATTCTGAGAGCTTTGGCGTTACCTCCAAGCAGCTCTGCGTGAATCAAAACACCATATTTTCAGTATTTTATAAGGGTCTCAGGTTTTGGTAGTAAGAAGATTTACTTTTACATGCCCTTACTTTTCTGTTGCGGGCACGCAAAATTTATATTTAACCAACTTGGAATATACCGTAGATATACCGGAGATTCATGTATATTACCGGAATATTTGTTTTGAACATACTAGGTATATTCACCTGCACATATACACAATATGTACATACCTGGCATGTTCATCTGCACATATACCCAATATGTACATATATGTACATACCTAGGATATACTTTTTGGTTTGGTTGGTTTACACCAGCCAAATCTACTCACGTTTTTATGCTTCAAAGCCCTCAAAGAACAAATTTCCCTCATTAAATTTTTCGGTATGCCCAGGTCAACGTTGATGTTGATTTTCTTCAGCGCGACCACTTTGCTGGAGGCGAGCTCCATCCCTTGGAAGACACAGCCATGAGCTCCTTCGCCAGCTCTCCCTGTGATTTTATAGTTTTCCATTTCAACGGCAATTTTCGGGAAACTATTGAGGAAAATGCAAACATTTCTAAAGGAAGTGTTTGTACTGACAGCTGAAAGTGACATGGAATCACCATGGAAACCGGAACTCTTGCGGCAGCAAACATAGCCAAATGTTTTGACAGAGATAAGCACTTGTCTCTGTTATTGATAAAAAAGTATTTGCTCAACCATTGAGGCTTTGAGGCTTCTACGTATAGGATTGAGGCCGTTTGAGGATTTTTTGTAGGCAACAAGCTCTATGACAGACTATGTTTAATAATAGTGGGCAATGAATGGAAAATTTGCTTGGCAAAAATTCAATTTAACTGACAGCGATTTAGCGGCAGAACAAAATGCATTTTTTATTGCTTTTTAGTAAGTTTGCTTAAAAATTGATGCAGTTCTTAAAGTGATTTTTGTTTAGTTTTATTGAGTGCGATTCCTGCGGCTCCCGCTCCGCAAAAGTGCGAATTAAAAGAAATTCAAAGCATTGCCTGGTAAGTACAGTTTTCTTATGGAATTTATTGGCGAACTTTCACCTTACTTTAATTATATGCAGTCGTGCGTGGTTTAAACAAACTGTTTGAAACACTTGATTTGGGAGTTTAGTTGAAGGAGTGAAGCTTCGGAAAATGCGGAGTTTTGCGCTCAAGAGTTTAGCGAAACCCTGGCAAATCAAGTTCAGAAACTTGAACTTTTGCTCCACTTTATACCAATTTATTCGAATTTCCAGTGCGATCTTTTGCTGCTTTTCTCAGGCTTCTGCCTCGGATGTTCTGAGCAGGAGCTTAATCGATTTTTGTCAATTGGAATACGAAATCAAATAAAAATGTGTAAAAATCATATTCAAAAGAATGAGAAACGAACGGTTTCAATTGCACAAATGGAACAAACTGATGCTTTGTCGAAGAGTTTCAAAAAATATCCATTTATCATTTAGCCATATTTTTTTATTTTATATTTCTTTGGCGTTTTCAGAATCATTTTTTTTTATTTTACTGTTTTCCGACTCACTATTTATTAAAGAACATGTTTTGTAAATTGTTGTTATTTTTACAATTATTTTTTACTCGCTTCTTGTGCAGCTACGATGCGAAACAAAATCCCATAATGGCTGAATCGGGGGAAGTAAAGTTGAATGATAAAATAATGGTGGTGGTTACGAGTGAAGAAGAAATTTGCGCTGAGGCTCGCAAAGTGGTCCTTTTGGTAGTACCCCCTTCAGGTACGTGCTATACGAAAAATGTTGAAAATTTCCCGATTTGTGCATTTTTATCGGTTTAACAGAACTTTCACGCATAATTACGTTTTTTTTTGGTGAAGTCCTTCTGATAACATAGCATTGAAACTGGTGAGTTTTTCGGAATTTTGGGCCTTTTGGAACCGAGAAAGCGAAATTTGAATATCAGACACTTAGGTGCAAGATTATGCCAACATTTCATGTTTTCCGTCCCGTTTTTGCTCATTTCTCGGAGGCAAAATAAGCAAGAACGCTAATTTGTACGTCATTTTAGAGAAAAATAAAAGGCCTTTTTAGCAAGCGAACCATCGATAAGGAAATTAACTCATTTAATAAACAACGTGAACTATGAATTCTAGACGGCAAATTTAATAAAAATAAGCCGGGGCCCATTTTCGAACTCAATGGAAATCAGTTCGTCGTTGAACCGTATGCTGTTGAAACGGCTGGACCCACCACTTTGAAAGTGTTTCGTTACGATCATCACAACAATGCCGTGATTGGAAATGCTGCTGAGGTACCAGGAAAAGTCCAGTTAGAAAATAAAACACATTTTCCGGCGGTTTTTAGTTCAAATTCATTGCCACGTTCGTAAAACCTGCGGTCGCACTGCCAGGGGGCTCAGAGGAGTTTTACCCAGCCAACAGAAGATCGGAGAGTAACTGTCCATTAATGGCTGGTTCCAATATTACTAACTCTGCTTTGCAGTTACTACCCGAGCTAAGAACTTGAACAGAAAAGATCACAGCGCCCAAGACTTGACTTTCAAATGGAAATGCAGCGTCAGTGAAGGAAGCGAGTCTGGATTCTGCGGCCCGTCCTACATGGACGACTTCAACGGTACCAAACTACCTAACTAATACCCATTATTATCCTGGCCATTCCAGACCGGAACACCCTAGTTATTCCCCCCAGTGCCAGCAAAGTGGAAAACGTATTTTCGCTTTCACTGCAAGTGGGCCTGAGAGCCGATGCAGACGAACAGTACACGGCTGTTTCAACCCAAACTGTTCGTTTCGTGCCTCGCGAGGACGGCGGAAGATTGGACATCCTGTAAAAGTCTCCAGAACACCATCGACAGCAACACTAAATGCGCTTTATCGGTTCAGGTGCATAAAAAACTGTGTCCCCAAAGCAGAAGCAACAGTACCATCCACGCCCCTCATTCTCAAGGCGCTTTTGAGTGGATGGACACTCACATCCAATGCCTACCTTTGGTGGACTGTTCAAGATGGTGAGGAGACTTTGGTTTATTGTGCTCCTTCACCAAAGCGTCAAGAATTTTCAATATAATAAAACAGTTGGGACTTGCTGGAGTGCAAACCTAATATAGTAGAAATACATAAATATACAGGGTGGCGCGCGTATGAACATGACTAGAACTTGCATTTAGGAAGTGGAGTGGTAGGAGTGGAGAAGTAGGAGTGCCTTCCGACTAAGGCATGTCAATCTTAGTCGGAAAGCACGGGAGTTCACTTCGCCCACTGCCTCATCGCCTTTGATAATGTCCAGCGCAGTTGTGGACGAAACGTCAGGAAGAAATTCCCATAGACCACGGCTTCAAAGCCCGGAAAACATTCCTAAATGTGATTTAACCGGCCGTGAAAGCCTTCATAGGCTGATATGACTAGAACTATTTTTGAGAAAAAATTCCTTTCTATTGATTTTGCAAAAAACTGCTCTTGTACGATCAGTACTGCATCATCCGCAAAACCCAGCTGGTAAAATGTATTGTTGTATTTAGTTTTACAGCGCGGAGTCTAGACAATAACAATAATGAATACTTTTTCAATTTTTCTAGCAAAAAACTCTGAAATCGATTATGGCAAGTTGAAATCCCGCAAAGGAGAGCTATTTTACATGCTCCCAGGCGGTCTAAAAGAAAGCGAAAAGTACACCGTCAAACTGCAAGCAATCGGTTGGCTACATTCACCTCTAAAGCCAATATTTCATTAATCTGAAGGAAATTAATCTGCAGGGGGCAGTAGAGATCGCATGTCTTCAGAGTTCGAGCTGGACACCACCTTGCCACCAAGCGTCTCAGATTGCATGGTGGAACCGTTCAAGGGAGTGGCGTTCCAAACTGAGTTCAAAATATTCTGCACTTATTTTCCCGCTGAGATTCTCTTTGAAATATACGCGATGGATAAAGAAAAGGGCGAGTAAAAGGACGCGATCGAAGTATGATCTAACTGAGAAAGTTTTCAGAAACTTTCATCCGTAAGGGTTCAGGGCGGTTGGAGGACATGGTTTTTATGCTTCCAGCCGGATCTCCATCCAAGGTGTTATTAAAAGCGACCTATTTTAAACTGGGGTATACTCAAACTATAGACAAGGGACTGTCTTCCATGGTATGTTCTTCGGTTTTAATATTTTTATTTTTATTTTTATAAAATATTATATTTAATACCGCTGTTGGTTTTGGGCGCGAGTTTGCGGTGGATTTAATCTTCAATTAGAAAATCAATAGTTTCAATTCACTCCCGAACTCGCTTCTAGAACAGACTTACGTATACTTAGTACATTCTTTATAGGTTGCACCGTGTTTAGATCCTGCCAAAATCGACGAATCTGCAAGGGAAAAGCTGAAAAAAGCTTCAGATCATGCACAAAATGGGCATCCAAGTATCGCTCTGCAAGGTCTAAGCGCCGTTGTTGAGGAATACTCCAAAGTGGACAATCCAAAACTGTTGAAAGCTTTGGATCAGCAAGCGATTTTTGCCATTAACAAAGTGGGTTTTTTTCAAACTGGATCAATGCTATTTTCGGCTCAGATTAAATTCGAATCCTCAGACAGCGCTCAGCAAGCTGTGGACGTGTTGGGGCACATTGCTGGCAGGTACGCAGTTTCTGATCCCGAAATATCCCTCAGAGCTACTGAGGTCTGCCTCAGAGCCAGCAGAGTGATAGCGAACGAGGCAAAGTATGCCAGAGGTGCAGAACTACTACGAACACAAGTCACGCATAGTGTTAAGTAAGGAATAATTAATTTAATTTGTTTAAAACTTWTTTGTTTAATARTCCTGACTGCGTGTAATGGTTATTATATTTGTTTTCCTCCTGGGTTTCAGTCAAAGTGTGAATTAAAACTTTGTACCTTGTTTAYTTCATAACRTTTCGGCGAGACAACAGCGCCATCWTCAGATTTAAAATTCATACAAACTCATAATTGGRAAACATTAGATTCTTTTAGGTCTTTGCTGTCTTGAAACCTCTGGGCAGAAACCCAAAAAGGAATAGAATATAATTTGTTTAAAACMCAGTTTAACGTGGTAATTTCCCCATTGTAGATCATTAGCGACTTGCGCTCAGGCAGGTTTAAACGAGAATCGGGAATCCGTAACCAAAAGTCCTCCTCAAGTCTTAGTGCCCTCCACCAAACGTCCTCTAATGCCTTCTGGAGATGTTACGGAGGATTATGCGGATTATACTGATGATGAATTGTCTGCAGACAATATAGCGCGGGTATTTAAGACCATTTTAACACAGTTAAGCTTTTTTTAATAGAATAGATTTGCTTTAGTTTGAGCAAGCGGCTGCAGCTATGAAAACCATGTGTTTCACTTCAGCTACTATGTTGTCGAATACAATGGTTCCTGAAGAAGATCCAGTGGTTACTAAGCAGGGCGCATTCACCACTGTAGCTGGACGAATGTAAATTGATGTATTCTTGGGCGGATTATTGCAATTTTTTGTACTCAATTGCAGGTATTGCGATGAAATGGCTGCTGGATCGATGCAGGCGAATGATATAGTGGTGCAGCCATCTGAAGAGTGTCTGCAGCAAAACGTCCCTATTGTGGACATTTTGGTGAGTCCCGGAAGTAATTTGACGCGCAAAAAACGTTCTTACTTTTGGGGCTCACTACAGATGTGCTCAACCCAGAAGAATCCGTACTGGTTTATTGACAACATTCCCCTGATCTCTCCGATAGTCTATTTGAAGTTTACTGGCACTGGGCGCCAGCGCTCTGCTATAACTGTGGACTTTCATAGAGGTGGAATGACTGGCAGGATCGCGTGGAGTTGGGGGTTTTATCTAGCAAACTTTCCAGAACTTTTCAAGATCACTGTGCTGAATAAGAAGGAAGTGGACATACCATTGAGCGTGCACCAAGCCACTTTGCCCACGGCGCCGTTATCCAGCCTGGATGAATTCAGTTTCAACGACCAAATTTCGATGCATCGCATCTACGTGTTTCGCAATCGGGGCTTTACTGTTATCTTCGAAAATATGAGTTCAGCTGACAGTTTCCAGGCAAGCGGATTGAGGGAAATGTTGCCTTAAGTGCGCCTTTGTGTCCCCCAGGCGACCTTAACCCGCTTTGCAAAGCCGGACCTGGGTTTATTCCAGTCGCAGAAAAAAACCGTGACTTTCTCCGATCCAGTGCTGGATGTGACCGAGGTGCATGACTATGATAGCTTCTGGTTCCTGAGCGTCCTCCCTACAGATCAAATGGTGACTCGCCCCTTTCCAAGCACTTAGGAGTAATTTCTGTATTTTTCAGGTTCGTTCTGGAGGCACCAAGTACTCATTTTCTGCATCCTCTACTGGCTGCTTCGCGTGGAACGAGACTGGGAAGAACTGGGACTATGCTTGCCATGTTTTACTTAATTAAAAGGAAGCATGCCTTAGGGCCTAATTTGGAGTTTTTCAGGCTGCAAGTGGTAGAGTGGTTGCAACGACAATCACTTGCTACTGCGAGTATGGGGAAGTTTTCACTGCCTACGTGGAGGACAATGCGGCCAACTTGGAGGAAAATCTTCTAATAGACTTCGCGTTGGAGACCAGGTTTTGCTGGGTTCTTTACATAACGGTGGCAGCCACTTTCTTCGTTTTCCTCCTGCTGTTTTTCTTCGCCTCCTTTGAGCAGCCGGATCACGTAAGCCTTTTCCATCGAGCTGCTTTAATAGCTGCAAGCAGCTTTTAGACAGAGTTTTCTTCGTGGGCGACGTGCCCAGCTTCTACCATTGCGCCTATGTAGTGGCGATCAAAACTGGAAAGAAGCGCCACTCTGGAACCACGTCCAATGTGACCATCAAGCTCAATGGGACCAACTCGGACAGTTTGGTGGGTAACTTTCTGCTTAAATCGAGCTTAGTTTTAGGAAACTGGCTTTCCAGGCCCACGTTCTCAACTACCCAGATCCAGAACTGGTGATGTTCCAAAAGAATACGGAAATTTGGTTCGTGATGGCCACTGAGAAGTCTTTGGGAGATCTTGTGGGGATGGAAATTTGGTTCGATTCGATTGGAAACGATACCAACTGGTGACTCTTTGGAGTATTTTGGGCAGTAAAGTGCAGCTGGATTTTCAGGTATTGCTCCAGAATTGAGGTCTATGATATTCAAGAGGACAAGTCATGGCGATTTGAGGTGAACCAGTGGTTCGACGTCGCGCGTCCCGACCATCAGAAGTTTCTTCTGACTCCCGCTCCCGTAGGGACTGGAATGCTGGAGAAAGGAGGAACACGCGTAGTTAAAGCCGTGAAAACCTTGCTGGGGAGGACGAGAAAGGAACTTAATCTCTGGAATGTGCTGTAAGAGTCCAGCTAGTCCAACTTGGGTCCATCAATTGCAGTTTTCCAGATCAAAGGACCCGTTAATGACGCGAAAAGAGAGATTGGCCCTGCTTTTCCTAACTCTCATCTCAATCTACCTCATTCTAATGCTCATGTATGCCATACCAAATTTCGATGAATCCGACACGATCGATGGGAACACCTTTGGCTTCAATGCCAAGCTAATTTGGGCTCCAGTAGTGGCCAATTTACTGGCTTTCCTGCTCACTTTTCCTTTGATTTACGCCATAAAACGCGGAAAAATATCGACTTCAAAGGGAAAACGACCGCACAGACTTCTGGCAATATCGTCTGCAGTTGTGACGACTGTTTCCTGGTAAGTTATGGGCAGCGTAAAAGTGATTTATGTGCACTGAAAGTTCAAGGGACTTTCCATGTGAAATTGTAGGATTAGCCAGGGAATTTATGGGTCTCCCGGTATCTGGGAAAAGAGTGGAATTTAATTATTTTTTCCGTTTATTCTAGGGGCTCAGTTGTTTTGCTATCTACCGCCGGTTTAACTGTGCTGATTGTTTGCGGCTTCTGGATTCCGTTCGACACCAGCCTTTTGTGGCTGGTCTCAGCTGCATTAGCCGTCTGCTTTAACATGGTCATTACGCAGAACATTTCACGACTTTTTTACGGATTTTTGGTCCAAATACCCGCGCAAGTAAGTGGGATTTAGACTAGAGATCCCATTGCACGGGGAGTAAACTTGCGTTTTAGATCCAGTCATTTCAAGCGGCCACAAAGCGCTTTATTCAGTTCGTCGAACTGCAAAGAAGCTGGATTTACAAGAAGTTTGGCCCTTTGGCGCTCAGACCGTACTTGAGGCATTTGTATTTCAGTTTGGATCCCATAACTCTGAAGGTAATTCAGGGCTATAATTGGTTGAAAATTGATGTGAAGTGGGACTGATCAAGGTCGGTTTAGGAGAGATTCAAATGGGAAGAGACGAAAGTGGCGATTTTCGAAATTTTGGAGGACTTGATGATGATTAGCGTGTATGTGGCGCTTCTGTACGTGCTGCTGATGTTTGACCGAGACGAACAAGCCATTCACAGTCATAACGAAATTGAGAATTTGCTGCTAGGCAAGGCTGTGAACTCGAAGATTTCCCCTGATTCCATTTCACAGTTAGTGTGGTTTTAATTAATCTTTTGCCTCTGATCATGCATTTTCGTTGGGTTGATTCTCTTTGTTCCAGCCAATGTAATAAGCTTTAGATCCTGAGCTGCATAATCTCCTTATGTTGCGCCATGTGTTCTTGCTTGTGTTTCAATATTGCGTGATTTATAGCGCAACATTTATTTTGATTCTGGTTTTCTGCAACTTGAGCTGGAAAATGCTGCTTTCAGGATAGAGGATTATTTGGCAGAAGTATTGCTTCCCACAGTTCAGTCGCTAGAATGGTATGGAAACTATGTTCAGGAGAACCCTGGAATGACCAAGGATTTCTCCAATAAATATCTGGGTGAGGCAAAGAGGTTTAAAAACATTAAAATATTCAAACCAATGGGTTTTTAGGCCGTCGTTCGGTAGAATTACTTCTTGACGTTTCGCAAGCACGAGTGGCTTGCATCTTCAGAAGTGGTTTGCTTGAACGCTTACACTGTCCCGATTCGATTCCTTGGGAGCGTCCGTATTTATGCAACCGGTGCTTTGGCGACTTTTAGAACTCTCACTCTTCTTTACTGAACGCACAACTCTGAGCTTCTAGATAATTTTTTGTTTCTAAGAAATTCATTTTCGAAAAACGCGAAGCATATTGTGTCCCGCAACAGTTTTCTCAAATCGTAATCAAAGTTTTCTTAACGATGAGCGAAGTTCGAAATTTTGGCTACTTTTAAGGCGCACTATTCTTTACGGAACACACAACTCTGAGCTTGTAGAGTATTTTTCGGTTCTGAGAAATTTATTTTGAAAAAACGCGAAGCAAATTGTGTCTCACAACAGTTTTTTCAAATCGTAATCAAAGTTTTCTTAACGATGAGCAAAGTTCGAAATTTTGGCGACTTTTAGGGCGCACTCTTCTTTACGGAACGCACAACTCTGAGCTTGTAGAGCATTTTTCGTTTCTGAGAAATTTGTTTTCGAAAAACGCGGAGCAAATTGTGTCTCGCAACAGTTTTTTCAAATCGTAAGCAAAGTCTCCTTAACGATGAGCGGGGCTAGAAATTTTGGAGACTTTTAGGTCGCACTCTTCTTTACTGAACGCACACCTCTGAGCTTGTAGAGCATTTTTCGTTTCTGAGAAATGCATTTTCAAAAAACGCGACGCAAATTGTGTCCCGCAACAGTTTTTTCAAATCGTAAGCAAAGTTTCCTTAACGATGAGCGAAGTTCGAAATTTTGGCGACTTTTAGGGCGCACTCTTCTTTACTGAACGCACAACTCTGAGCTTGTAGAGCATTTTTCGTTTCTGAGAAATTTATTTTCGAAAAACGCGAAGCAAATTGTGTCTCGCAACAGTTTTTTCAAGTCGTAAGCAAAGTTTCCTTAACGATGAGCGAAGTTCGAAATTTTGGCGACTTTTAGGGCGCACTCTTCTTTACTGAACGCACAACTCTGAGCTTGTAGAGCATTTTTCGTTTCTGAGAAATTTATTTTCAAAAAACCCGAAGCAAATTGTGTCTCGCAACAGTTTTTTCAAATTGTAAGCAAAGTTTCCTTAACGATGAGCGAAGTTCGAAACTTTGGCGACTTTAAGGCGCACTCTTCTTTACGGAACGCACAACATTGAGCTTGTAGAGTATTTTTCGTTTCTGAGAAATTTATTTTCGAACAACGCGAAGCAAATTGTGTCTCGCAACAGTTTTTTCAAATCGTAAGCAAAGTTTCCTTAAGGATGAGCGAAGTTCGAAATGTTGGCGACTTTTAGGGCGCACTTTTCTTTACTGAACGCACAACTCTGAGCTTGTAGAGCATTTTTCATTTCTGAGAAATGCATTTTCAAAAAACGCGACGCAAATTGTGTCCCGCAACAGTTTTTTCAAATCGTAAGCAAAGTTTTCTTAACGACGAGCGAAGTTCGAAATTTTGGCGACTTTTAGGGCGCACTCTTCTTTACTGAACGCACAACTCTGAGCTTGTAGAGCATTTTTCGTTTCTGAGAAGTTTATTTTCGAAAAACGCGAAGCAAATTGTGTCCCGCAACAGTTTTTTCAAATTGTAAGCAAAGTTTTCTTAAGGATGAGCGAAGTTCGAAATGTTGGCCATTTTTAGAGCGCACAACTCTGAGCTTGTAGAGCATTTTTCGTTTCTGAGAAATTTATTTTCGAAAAACGCGAAGCAAATTGTGCAGTCCGTATTTATGCACCGGTTGCATAAATACGGACGCGCCCGAGGTATCGCATCGGAACAGTGTAAGCGTTCAAGCAAACCACTTCTGAAGATGCAAGCCACTCGTGCTTGCGAAACGTCAAGAAGAAATTCTACCGAACGACGGCCTAAAAACCCGACAATCCCATTAGTTTCGAGGAATGGCCTGGGAATCTCTTTTATTAAAATGTTGCTTAATGGGAAAGTCGCCAGTTAATTTTCAGGAGCTAAAAACGTCGAGGAATAAATTGAGTTTATAAAAAAATTGAGTTTATTTCCCGTTAAGCAATATTTTCAACAGGTTTAGTGGCTCTGTTCAAGCTTGAATCTGATGAGTGAAACTCCCCGAAAAACTCGTCAGTTTGACTGTAAACATTCCCTAATCTTCCTTGACTGCACTTTTAAGCAAATATTTTTTTTTGGTTGCTTCAGGCATAATCCGTCTAAGGCAGCATCGGACCCGGGAAATAAAATGTCAGCTTCCAGCTATCCTGGCAAAGGTCCCCTGGACTTGTCGCCCGGACTTCCACATGCTGAGAGAAACGAGCAGTTTTTCCAGAGGCTGGAAAGCACCATCTGATATTTCCCAAATCACCACGGAGCGCATGGGCAACGTGTGGAAGTACACTGATAGTAGTTTATCTGGATCTTCCATATATTTTGGTAACTGAGTTCCAAAATTCGAGCTAATTCTTTGAAAATTTTGTAATTTTTTGAGGTGAATATGCAGCTTATCCGGGAGGCGGCTACGTTGCGCCTTTGGGGCGCCATTTGAGGAACTCCCTGATCAATTTGGAGTACTTGAAGAAGCACAAGTGGCTGGATATTCAAACCAGGGCGCTTTTTATCGAGTTTTTGACCTACAACGCGAACGTGAATTTGTTCAATGGAGTGACCGTGATTTTTGAAATAAATGCCGCTGGTCATGTGAGCAAGGATTTAAAGGTAGGGCCTCAAACTTCGCCAGGTTGATTTTTCGCATTGCATTGTTTCCAGGTCCAAACCAGGAAGTTTCTCATGATAGACCAGGATAGAGTGTTTACCAAGAATGTAGTTTCCACCATCTTTGTGCTGGCGCTTTTAGTGCTGGCGCTGCGAATCGCCTACAAGATCCATAGGAAGAAAACGTTGTACTTTTACGATGTTTGGGCTATTTTGGATATTGTTATTGGTGCTGATGGATTTGTGCCCTTGGCTTCAGCGTTTTCATCCACATCTTTTAGTGTTCCTGAGCGCCTGCTCGATTTATCTGTATTACGCCAGGCAACATGCGATCCAGATCTACATCGATGCGGTATCTGAGGCCAAGAACAACGATTTTGTGCAATATTTTCAGCTGTTTGCTGCGGATAATGTTTTAACCGCATTGTCAGCTACACTGGTGTTTGTGGCGACGCTTCGCTTATGGAAGCTACTGAGGTAAGGAAAGCGACACTAATGGGGTTCAAGTCGAGGCTTTTTTGAGCGCGTTTCAGATTTATGATTATAGTGAAAGTGGCCGAGAAAACCGTGCGGGATGCTGGAACTTCCTTGCTCTTGTGCTGGGCCTATCAACTGTTGCTGGTAGTTGCCTTTTCTGCGACTGGGATTATGTTCTTTGGCGGATACTCCCAGGTAAACTTTTCAAGAAATTCCACAGACAAATAGCAGACGTTTGCAATTGCAGAACTTCAAAAACTTCAATTCCGCCTTCTCCACGCTGCTGCTGTTGAGCCTGAATTTGTGCGGCACTCTCGAGTTGAACGATCTGTACAAACATCCGCTCGGCATCGCTTTCTACATACTCTACATGCTGGTTTCGTTCTTCTTCATCAACATCTACATTGCCATTATCAGCTTGTACTATGCGGACTCGAAGGACTTTTATGCGGACGAGCCGCGCTTTATGCAGAAGTTCGTGCAGCAGAAGTGGAAGTTTTATAAAAACCTGCTGATGGTTCGTGGAAGAAAAATGCGCGGTGGAGAAGGTAATAAATCAAATAGGGAAAATTCCACTTTTTGCACCCAATTGCTTCCAACTGGTGAGTTTTCCAAGCCTTTCAAAGGCTCAAAACCGCACACTAGGTAGCCTGTACATGGTTTCTTAGGATTTTTTAAGCGAACGCTTGAAAATGGTTGGAAACACTTCTAGAAACACCTCTGAAGATGCAAGCCACTCGTGCCTGCGAAAGGTCGAGAAGGGTTTAAAAGCTAGAAAAACTCATCAGTTTGTTACTTGTTGTGAGACCCGGTTATTAGAGGACAGACTTTAAGCCAAAAAAATTAATTAACTATATTGATAGACGAGATCAACGATGATCGAATAATAAAGCCGAAATCCGGAGAAAGATATCAGGACTGTTTCACAATTGCGAAAAGTCGACTGGATGGCATGGCTTTGGTGACAATTTGCGTATTGCGGAACATGGAAGAACATCGATCCATGACCGAGAAGGATTTTGATCTGATGTCGAAAACTGTAAGTTCTCTTTGATGTTTTAACACTAGAAAAGAACAACGTGAAGCTTTTAGCTACAACGACAAATGTTGGCGCAGTCGGAGGGATTCAACGGGAAATGCAAAAAACATTTTTTTTTGGACATTGTTTCAGATTAAATTGCTGCACGAAGATGAGTCGACAGACAAACAGGTGTTTTTCACCACTGGCGATTCGCGGCGCATAACATTTGTGGACGATCGGAAAATCCAGCAAATCGCCGATATTTGCGAAAACCTAGTCCAGTACTGTATGCGAAAAACGCGAGTTTCCAGACATTTGCCCCCATCATTGATTGATGAACGGATTTCGCGAATTAACACATTGATTGAGAACATCAGGATGATTGAGAGCGTTTTGGGAAACGTGCAAATTCGCCATAAGTGACTGATTTTGTTTCGATTTTATTTTGCATGGTACAGGCAGATGTATTGTTTGTGGCAAATACATTAATGTTTCTCATACCGTTCAGACAAGCGTGTAATAAACAGCTCAATCGATGAAGCGTCTATAAAAATATACAAATACATTTTGAAATTCTTTGGCGTGAGCGTTAAAAGCTTTGATTTGGAACCAATTGTTCTAATGGAACGAATCTGGCACATTCCAGAACGCCACAGGAAAAACCGCACAAAACCTGCCATTTTAATTCATTTATTTTGAAAATTAAATTTAAATACAAATATCGAAAAGACCAAATAAATCCACGGGGTTATTTTGTTTATTTTTAATCGTGCTGCAAACACATTTAACTGCAATATTTGCACCTGCCACTCTAAAAATATGTGTGCACACATAAAAGCTCTCAAACACAGTCATTTAATTAATTACCCCGCTGTATCTAACTAAGAATGTTTCAATTTATTTAATTATATGCATATAGAGAATGCTCACAATTGAAGGGATTTATTTAGCGGTTGAGCAACGCTCTGTTGCAATGATTAATGGACAAAGAATTAAGCTATCATTTTTCAACGAATATGGTAAAATACATTGTTTGCTAGGAGGTTATTGCTTGAGGCTTGCTTGAAAAGCGCAGGGAAAAATTGAGTTCATTTCGCGAATTTCGCGGTTTTTTTGCTTAGTACATATTTTTAGGTGCTACGATGCAGATTTCGGGAATATTGGCATTACTTTTCCCTTCATTGCCCTGTAGATGTTGAACTGTTAGTCATGCTCATAAACTGACTCATAGGGTGGATTGAGCTGTTGGTTCTTTCGTGGTTAATTTTTAAACTTTGAGAATATTTTGAGTGGCTTGGTGTTTTTACATCAGACTCATCTGAAGCTTTTCGATAAAGAACCGCTTCACATATGCAAAAATGGGATGCAGTTTTATGTTTTTTTGCCAAAAAAAGTAAACAGTTTTCAGTTTTGCCTGTATTTTAAATGCGAACTCGAATAGTATTTTTCGTTTCTGAGAAATTTATTTTCGAGAAACGCGGAGCAAAAGGTGTCCGTGACAGTTTTTTCAAATCTTAAGCAAAATTTTCAGCAGCAAGCAAAATGAGCGAAGTTGGAAATTTTCGCGTCTTTTGGGGCGCACTCTTCTTTACTGAACGCACAACTCTGAACTTGTAGAGTATTTTTCGTTTCTGAGAAATTTATTTTCGAAAAAC